ACACTGCCTCTGTGACTATAACTACACACTGCCTCTGTGACTATAACTACACACTGCCTCTGTGACTATCTACACATTGCCTCCGTGACTATAACTACACACTGCCTCTGTGACTATAACTACACACTGCCTCTGTGACTAATACTACACACTGCCTCTGTGACTATAACTAGATACTGCCTCTGTGACTAAAAGTAGATACTGCGTCTGCGACTAGGGTTTAGTGGCAGTGTGATGCTTGAGGATCATTGACGATGATTTTATTGTAGACTTTAGCATGAGTAGTTTGTATTTTTGTACCATAAAGTGTCTCCTATTTAAGTTTTGTTGACAATCACATTGTTATCACCCATGACCATTACTACATTGTGATTTCATATAAGAATCATTAAATGATGACTTAAACAGAAACGTGTATCCTTGTTTTCTTACTGCCTTGTATCATTAACAGTAATTAACGTCACCGCCGATCCTAATAAAGAAACAATGACAATGGGCCGTGATACATTAAATAAGGGTGATAATAGATCTCTAAGGCTCAGGATTTGAGTTAGGTAGAAGAGGACAGTTAATGAATCCACATGGACTCTGGGCTGTTGCCAGGGAAGGGGAGACCAAGGTAGTGGATCCCAGTTACTCAGGACAGTAGCCAGGTAGGAGGGACTCATGTAGTGGATCACCAGGACTCAGGACAGGATCCAGGTAGGAGGGACTCATGTAGTGGATCCCAGTGTCTCAGGACAGTAGCCAGGTATAAGGGACTTGTTTAGTGGATCCCAGTGACTCAGGACAGTAACCAGGTAGGAGGGACTTGTTTAGTGGATCACCAGGACTAAAGACAGTAGCCAGGTAGGAGAGACTCATGTAGTGGATCCCAGTGACTCAGGACAGTAGTGGATCCCCATGGCTCAGGTTTGAACCATGGCAGTCCCAACAAAATTAAACGAAGAAATACATATCTTAGTTACAACAAAAATAGGTATATATTTATATTATACATATAAATCATATTGGGATATCAAATACTTGAAACCTTGAAAGATTGGAGGTCAATTCGCAGAAGAAGAAAAAGAAAATTGTTAAAGAAATAATCTCAGCTTTCCGTACAGGGCACTCTACAGAGACGACTGTCTTAGATAAACCATGCTGGACTACTCCTACGAAGTAACTGGTGACGTGTTCTGATCTCAGTTGTTAATGGCTAAGTCGTCAGGGTTCACAGGGTTCTGTGTTGGGACCACACAAGTATCGCCTGAGGTACGTACCTAGCCAATAGACTAGATACCCGCGTCATAGCCTCCTCTCCCCATCACTGTTACGCCAATATACCACAGGTATGTATGGTCGTGGGACTTAACAGTTGGGATACGACATATCAATAAAACCGGAAGCACATCTGTGCTTGAATGAGAGTCAATATGCTGAAATTCAACCAAGACAATGCAGGCCTCATTGCCTTCGCTCCAAAACACCGGATGAAGAACACAGATCTCCAGCTGAAGGTTAGTGCCATGGCTGCTATGGTCGTCCAACTTGTTAGGAACATAGAATACACTTAGACAATTTGGGAAACTTGTGAATGCAATCAAAATAAAGTTACTGCTAAAAATTATAGTGTATTCAGCAAACATTGGTGCTTTTATTGAGTACATATTGTATTGACGACAGCACTGCAGTGTGGTTTCCTCGGATACAACGACGAGCCATCTTCAGAACGTTCAGAACACAGCAGCTCGTCTCGTCACTCGTCCTGTACTGCATTCCATGCTAGTTACATACAAGGCGCTCAACTTTTCAACTCTTACATACCTACAGGAACCACAGGGACTTTTCACGACGCTAACCCGTTCAAAGGGAGAGGTCGGTGATACCGAAACAAATAAAAATACCATAACTAAACGAAGGAGAATGTAGCGAGATTTTAGCATTTATGACAGTAGGTGGAAGATCGTTTCACAAGGTGGCCACACATTTACCGCATGTCCGAAACACTCAGCAAGGATTCCAACTCAGATATTGATGATTTGTAGTTTTCAGAAAATCGGCTGTATTACATGCAAATGAAACATGGCAGTATGATGGGGTCACACTTGAGTCTGTAAATTCTTTTTCTTATTTGGGGGTAAAACTCAATTATAATGGTAATTTTAATTTAACGCAGAAACAATTTTTCTGCACACTGTTGTCACTTTTTGACACATATGTCGGCAGTGTAGCCAACTATGCTTGCGAGGTGTGGGGTTTACACAAAGCGCCTGATATCGAACAACTACATCTAGACTTTTGTAAGAATATTTTAGAAGTTCGAGAATATACACCAAACGCAATGATCTATTTCGAACTGGGTAGATATCCTCTTATCACTTCGAGGAAAATTAGAATTTTGAAGTACTGGTGTAAACTATTGACTTCTAAAAACTGTATTTTAAATGCATGTTATCAAGATATGTACAATGAGTGTGAATTCGAATCGAACCCACATTGTAAAAAATTGGTGGCTTCTGTTAAACGAGAACTCTGTTCTATTGGTATGTCGGAGTACTGGCAAGCACAGGGTAGCTTTAATACACATCATTTTTTGGTTTTAGCAAATCAGAGATCGGTAGATATTTTAAAACAAGACTATGGGACGTTTTTCTGCACCTTGTCTAAGAGCAGGATGTACCAACATATTAGTGATCATGCCTGTCTTCAACCTTACTTAAGTAAACCTATTCATGCAAAGTACAAAAAAGCAATTGTCAAAATACGACTGTCTTCGCACAATCTTTTAATAGAAACTGGAAGGCATAGAAAAAAATCTTCATAATTTAAGACTTTGTCCTTTCTGTAAAAATGATATAGAAGACGAATTCCACTTCATTCTAAAATGCCCCTCCTTTAGCGAACTACGAAGTAAATATATTAAATCATATTATCGTGTTAATCCCTCTGTCTATAAATTAATCAAATTGTTATCAACTGGTAATATGAAAGAGTTAACTAACCTGGGTAGGTTCATATATCATGCATGTTTACTATGTTCTACTCTGTTTGCTTCTAACTAACCTGATTTGCAAGCTCTTACTTCATAAAAACACCTGTATTTAAGTTATAAATTCCATATGCTGATTGTATCCTACAGCCTGTGCTGATTTTGAATGCACATTATGAAATTTTCCTTTGAATCGATGAGATACTCCGCGCTGAAAACACAGCATTGAGCAAATAGTATAAAGTGTCGCAAGGAGTGTGCATCTTATGTTTTATGGATAACTGCTCTGCTGAGTAGCTATGATTTCTGTTAGTCGCCACAGGGTAATGCCTAATCCTATAGAGTGGTAAGCAAACGTTAAAAAGTAAAACTTAACACGAATCTATTGAAAAGTTTGATTTGGGTGACCAACGCAATTCTTTTTAAACATATTCCCATCTTGGAGATGTGTTTATATAAATATGCGTTCTAAATACAAATCAATGGATACTGCAGAAGATCATGTCATTGGATGTTGACGGGGAGAAAACTAAGGAACACCAGTATTTCACGTGTTGGCTGCAAACCTTAATATCATTTTCGGAGGAAAAACAATCATATATCAACATGTAGGGAAGGCAACATGAAGACAAACAGGACAAATTGAACGTTTTCCAAAGTTGAATACCAAGAAAATAAGTTAAGACCGAAGTAGAACCAGAACAATACCTGGAAGTCAGAATGGTGAAGATAGGCAAAATATAAAAAGGACATGTTTAAACGGAGACCCTTAAAACTACAAACAATCATGTTATTAACATTTACAAGATTAACATTTTCATTGTGTTTTGGAAGTAGAGAATAATACGAGTCTTTTCAGACTTTTCTTTCAAGCATTAAATGTGCTTTTTCATCACTAGAAATCAAGGTTGTTAGTAAGCGAAGAATGGAATAACACTTCAACAAGAATTGGCCAAACCAGGGACGTGTAGTATATACTGTCCCTGGCCAAACATGTAAACTAGACAATAACAATCTGCACAGCAGGATGTGTACGTTTGAGTGGAAGTCGTTGACTAGAAATATTAATATTTCCTGCACCACATGTTGTACTAGTATAAACCTTTTATTCATTATAACCTAAATAGGATCAACCGTTATTGGTTTTGAAAGATTCAAGTGTACTGGAACGAACTACAATTTATGGTAAAGAAAACTGCTGGAATCAGGTCATTGTATACAGGATTACATATAATCCAATTTCTGCACGACTGATTTACATACATTGATAAATGACTGTTACTGGGCGTTATAATGTCGTTAGCGTGTGTGGTGAGTCTGAAATCACTCCATCACCACGTCGCCTAACACCTAATGGTCACCAATAGGTGTCCCTGGGTGGTTTGTATCACTGAGCAGTGTTAATTATGATCGATCATACAACACGACACGTGCCCCAAGTCTACGTGTAACTGAAATCAGGTCATAGTTAAATGCGATACTTAAAACCGACATCATGTGTTATCATTTCATAATGATTTTTTACTGATCGGATGATATTTAATATAACAATATTTTCTGTTGTAATGAAATAAATACTCAACATGCACAAAGGCCTGAAGCCTCGTGTAAAACTGGAAGCTCTGATAGAATATAAGACAATAAGTTATCTTTAACTAAATTTCAGACAATTATTTGAATGGCTACACGAAATATGAGGCTACACATGTGAGTGAATAGCTGTTGGTAATTCTTATGTTCCTTGTCGTAGAACACTATACACGCTGACAAACCCCTGCATCTCTGAAGCTGTACCCGGTACTGCTGTAAATGTCCGTTGTTGCACCGTTTCATTATTTACTGGTGGTGATATGGATTCGATATCACACTCAACTTTTATATAATAATACTTATATAACCTTACGGAACTTCTCTGAGTATTACATACCAGGTAGGCTACACCCAAGGTAGGAATTTATCTATCCCAAGTGAACA